AGAACCCTTCAACTCTACCTAGGTAACACACCAGTAGAAAGTGTAACTGAGCACAAAACTTTAGGTCTGATCATCGATGGAAATCTTACCTTCAACTCCCATGTGCAAACACTTGTTAAGCAAACTGCTACAAAGGTATACCAACTAGCAAAAATTAAAAACTTTCTGGATGAAAACTCTAGGAAATTATTCTATACTTCTCATATTCAGACCCACATAGACTATTGCTCCACAATATGGGATGGATGTGCAAATTCAGTCATCAAACGTCTGAAAGCACTGCACAGAAGGGCTGTTCGTTTAATAGCTAATAGTCATGAAAGGGACTGTTCGCACCTATATAAAGAACTCATGCTATTAACCGCTCCGGGAACGCCTACTATTCAATAAAGCTAAACTTATTAAGAAAATCATATCTAAAAATGTTCCATGTTACCTTTGGCCATTATTTAAATACAATGGAAGACATAGCAAACGCCTTAACATATTGCATATCTCTAAACCTAGAATAGACCTATATAAAACAAGCTTAGCGTACTCTGCAGCTCAGCTGTGGAATAATCTTCCACCGGAATAAAAAATATCAATAACCCCTTTAGATACAATCGGAAACTATTTGATATTTATTTCACTACAGACTATATGCCCCCCTAAAAAGATTATAGTATGTTAAGGCTTTGATGTATTTCTTATTAACGGTTACGGGGGGTGGGGGGGGGGGGGGGGGGGGGGGGGGGGGGGGGGGAGGGGGGGGGGTTGGGGAACTTGGTGGTGGTTGAAAACTGAAGCTTATTATTGTTAAAACTGAAGATGTGAAGGTTGAAAACTGAAAGCTTATTTTTGTTAAAACTGAAGATGTCAGTCGAATGCATTTCCAATATTTGTAACTAATATTTAATTGGTTTTGATGATGTTTATATTATGATTTGCACCTGTAAGACTTACATTTTTTTGAATAGGCTTATTATTATACTCTTTCAAACGTTCAAGTAATGTCAGTATAAATTAGAGCACATTCCAGCATTTGTAATTAAGACTTAGATATTGTTTTTTTTTTTTTTCTCTTCTCTTTTTTGTTCTTTTGTTTCTTTTCTATATTTCTCAAATTTTTAATTGTGCATTCCTCTTTTTATTAATTATTATTATTATTATTATTACTATTAACTATGAAATGAGGTAAAAATGAAACATTGTATGAAAGGAGCAGAGTGGAAGGGCAGAATGTTAGACGGGCCTGCGTGCCCAATTCTTAACCCTTTGAAAATAAAGTTTGTTCGTTCGTTCGTTCTATCTATCTATCTAATCTATCTATCCATCTATCTATCCGTCTATCTGTCTGTCTGTCGGTCGGTCGGTCGGTCGGTCGGTCGGTCGGTCGGTCGGTCTGTCTGTCTGTCTGTCTGTCTGTCTGTCTGTCTGTCTGTCTGTCTGTCTGTCTGTCTGTCTGTCTGTCTGTCTGTCTGTCTGTCTGTCTGTCTGTCTGTCTGTCAATCGGTCGGTGGGCCGGTGAGTCTCTCTGTCTGTACGTCTGTCTGTCTGCACGCCTGTCTATCTCTGTACGTTTGTCTGTATGTCTGTCTGTACGCATGTCTGTCTGTACGTCTGTCTATTCGTAGAAAGACTAACCACCTACAGAGAACGTCTGGCAAAATCTTAAATCTTCAGCTTCCCTGAGATCGCAGCAAAAACTGCTTCCTGTGACAGAGCAAGGCGGTCCTTTACTTAAACCCACGACCACCAGGGTGCAAGGCAAAAGGCAAACAGACTGACAACTTAACCACAAAGACCCCTTTTATCTCCCCCCACTTGTGGTGTGTGTGTGTGTGTGTGTGTGTGTGTGTGTGTGTGTGTGTGTGTGTGTTGGTGTGTGCATTTTATTACTATACGTATGCTTATTAGCAATTTTCACAACCTCTATTTCAGATTTTACTGCGGCAACATGATATTCTACTGAAACGGCAATTCTTCAACATCCACCACTCCATCACATCCCTGCACCCCCAAAAAATTGTGTCAAATATGATTGCATCAACACCATCACCATCCTCACCATCATCGCAGCAATCCTCCACCTTTACAACACTAGTTGGTACAAATACAACAGTCCATCATAGGTTCTACGGAATTAGACTCTAGCGCACTGCCCAACATTTCAAACGCCGAAGTCCGTCCCGCTCAGAGCTCCCGTCCCATTACCGGACTGGGTAGTAATCTAGAGACTCTGCTAGTCAGACCAATCAGATATACCAGCGCTTGCAGCGACCACAGCTCTGGCGACGACGACTCTGATGGAGGGGATGTGTTTTTTGAGACGAAATATCACCGCCCCAGAGCTGCGTCAATGAGAACGTCACGTGACCTAGCAGCTACAGTTCGAAGACGCAGTAGCAAGGATCTGATATAATTTCTTCGGTTCACCTTGTGGGGAATATGGGGGCCCATTGGGGTGGGGGGGGGGGCGTGGTGTTTTTTGGCTGAGTGCCCCCTAACAAACATGTCGTTGAAGACCACTTATCTGGAGTTTAATTAAATCGGATTTGTGGGGTCGAAAGGCGCTGATGTCGAAGCCTAGCTGTTTGCCAAAAACTTTTTTAAGGACAAAAGAAGAAGAAGAAGAAGAGGAAGAAGAAGAAGAAGAAGAAGAAGAAGAAGAAGAAGAAGAAGAAGAAGAAGAAGAAGAAGAAGAAGAAGAAGAAGAAGAAGAAGAAGAAGAAGAAGAAGAAGAAGAAGAGGAAGAAGAAGAAGAAGAAGAAGAAGAAGAAGAAGAAGAAGAAGAAGAAGAAGAAGAAGAAGACTGGGCGAATGAATTGAGTACATCTATTACATGACTTTCTCCTTTCTAATAGTATACAAGGTTTATAAAAATTAATTCTGTACGTCAAAAAGCACAGTAAACTATAAAAAAAAAAGCTTATCTTCAGTAAATACAGCACACCAACCACAGATCACAATCGAAAATGAAGAAATAGAAAATGCCGTAGATTTAGAGTACCTGGGCTCTTTAGTGAACAACAGCGGAGACTGCTCGAAAGAAGTAAACATCTTGAGATCAAGCATTTTTCCTGTGGCAACTTACGATTGTGTGTCTCGGACTCTCACTCAATCATTGAAGAAAAAGATTAGGGCTTTTGAATTAAAATGCTACAGAAAAACTCTCAGAATACCATGGATCAAGAAGAAGCAAAAGAAGAAGAGGAAGAAGAAGAAGGCGAGGAAGAAGAAGAAGGCGACGAAGAAGAAGAAGGCGACGAAGAAGAAGAAGAAGAAGGGAAGGAGAAAAAGAAAAAGAAGAAGAGGAAGGATGAGGAGGGTTGAGAGAAAGAGAACAAGAAGAAATCTTGATAAGCAACAAAAAAACAAGGATACAATTTATATCTAACTTTGACATTTTGAATTTACTTTAACACATTTTAGGCCTGGTGAGCCTGAGTCTCCACTCTGGGAACTCTCTTCAGGCCTGTGTGGTCTGTGTGTAACTGAGCCTCCTTCTCTCTGGCGTTACATATTTAAATCATTTGCGTCAAACAATTAGGAAGTAAGTAATTAAGATTCAACCACACCAGGACATCCACCAAGCGATAAAAACCTCGTAAGTCAAACACGTCCTTTTCAGGACGTAATTTTTTATTATTTGAAGCCCCACCCTGGCTTTAGCCGGGGGCCGCAATATAGGCAGGCCATAAATATGGCTAAATGTCTGAACGCGGTTTCTGGGACCTCTCCACGGCGATCCTCATCCGCATAGTGGCACTTTGTGTCATTGGGTGTTTATCGCTTGTGTGATGTCCTAGTGGGGTAGAAAGTCAGTCAGTCAGTCAGTCTGCAAGACGAAAAAAAAAAAAAAAACCACTTGGATCAGCGATATTTAAACCTTTCAGATAGCAGTCAAACTGGGAAATACAATTAACCAATAAACGAGACAGATAATTTCGCACTCTGTACATCTGTGCCTTGATTGCATTACCCCCCTTTCTTTGAGATGTTATTTTTCTAGATTGTTTTGGTGCCTCTCCTGGGTGTAGGAACCGATACATAGTTCCGGGAGCCGCCGTGGTGTAGCGGTTAGATGCTCGCCTGTGGATCAGAAGATCGTGGGTTTAAACGGTACTATCGGTACTGAACTCTGCTGGCTTATGGAGTTGAGGGCGGAGCACATTAAAAGAGTTGGGGGGGGGGGGGGCAGTTTTGTAATTGAGTGCAATTGCTGTACATATAATGAAAAGGATAGTCATGAAAACAAAACAGCGTTGCCAACTTTATATGGAGCGAGAGAGAGAGAGAGAGAGAGAGAGAGAGAGAGAGAGAGAGAGAGAGAGAGAGAGAGAGAGAGAGAGAGAGATCAGTTGTGCCTTGTTAAAAATCAGATAAACAAATACCAGATATCATCAAGACAAAACTGTGTCAACCATCATACTGATATTCGGATATTAAATTACCATTTGTTGGTGATTTTTTCTTTTGTTATTTAACCTGTTGAATTATATGCGTGTGTTCCTTCAAGTGTTTGTTAATAATACTTCAGATTTTTATTTTTCTCTTCCTACTTTTTAATAATGTTTTTTTTTTAAGTGGTTGTTGAAAAAAAAAAAAGGGGGGGGGGGGGCGGGTGTGTGATGTGCGTTCGGGTGCTGGGGGGCGTAGGTTCCCATTGAAATGTGTAATCAGGTATAAACAAATACATCTTAACTTAGAATACAATGCCACCAGCCAAGTGTGGCAGAACAGTTTGAACTTCAATGCTTCCAAACGCAGTTCAACGTTGAACGCTATAAGATGTGTATCATTAGTGTATTGTCACACACTTGATCAACGAATAAGAACATGTGCAAATAATAGGACTCTTGGTAAAGACTCGCCCAAACACGCCCACACGAGCTACCGCACGCACATTCTGTGGATAAATACAAATGACATCTTCAAACGACAGGTCAACAATCCGACCTTGAGAGTCCGGACGGTCACATCGATCTCCTCTTCTGCAGTCTGAACAGGGCAATGTCCCTCTTTAGTGATTCGGCCTGGAGAATCCTTCCTTAAAGATACCGGCTTCTTGCCGAGCGCAATAAACAATGTACCCGCTTTCAGCTGGGGTTCCTAGTGGAGTCCTGGGGTAGAGCGTCCTCAAGCATCCACTGAGACACGACCACACGTCTGTCTCCTTCAGACTGTATTCACCGAATCTTTCCTTGGCATCCCGTGGTAGAGCGTCCTCAAGAATCCACCGAGACACGACCACACGTCTGTCTCCTTCAGACTTTATACACCAAATCTTTCCTTGGCATCCCAGGGTAGAGCGTCCTCAAGGATCCACTGAGACACGACAACACATGTTAAGACCACTACTTTTGATCGACATATCTGTAACGTCAAATGTGGGCCACGGCCTAATCATTAAAGGACAAGAGATGATCGATAGATAAAACATGCTTTGTCTTGTTCAAGTTATAACTACTTGTTTGCATTGGTAAGTTGTAACTGATAATTATAGGGTTTAGTTTCCCATGTTTACAAACACACTTGTTGTTTTGATACTTTCTTCTTTTTCTTTTTCTTCTTCTTCTTCTTTCTTCTTTTGCGTGCACATCATTTCTACAGGTCTTACCTATTTATATGCAGATTGTTGGTTTCTTGCTTCCCAAGCAGAAACATTCAAATTTCAAAGGAAACTCCCCTACTTATTCACCTTTTACGACATGCTTGTTAGGGAACAGAGGGTCTAACTTTTTCATTCCTCCATAATGAAGCCCCGGAACCCACAGGGAGATAAAATGCTGCTCCGCAAAATTAAGACTAGTTGAGTTGAGTCAAGAATTGACATCACAGCACTCGGGGCATTCCTATGCATGCTCCGTCCTCATCTTCAGCAGCCAGACCCTCTGGTTACACCCATGTGCCTCATTCCCTCCAGGCCATAATAATCTTGTTTCTCTACTGAATCCGTTGCTTGTTTCCAAAGGGCCTTGACCACGTTGGCCTTGTCATGTATCAATTCACCACCCAGTGGTGCAGATCCATCCAATCTGTCTGCTTGTTCATTACCCATCACGCCGGCATAGCCTGGAGAAAAGATCCAAAGTATGCTTACTACTCGTGACCTTCCTAGTGTAGCTTGCCACTCTGCTCAAAGCATTAAGACAAGAAAAAGGAAAACCCTGTCATTACTGCCCGCATATACGCATTTTTAAAAAAAAAAACTGTGGTGTAGATGTGGATGGGGCTTTAGTTTAAAGCCTAATTATTTAGGAACCCAGACTAATGCAGTCGCCACGGACTGTGCAGGATAGGGTGTTTTATCTTCTTCTTCTTCTTCTTCTTCCTCTTCTTCTTCTTCTTCTTTTTCTTTCTTCTTCTTCTTCTTCTTCTTCTTCTTCTTCTTCTTCTTCTTCTTCTTCTTCTTCTTCTTTTTCTTCTTCAAAATGGCTTTAGCTTCCAGGTTAAATGGCTTCCTCTGCTAAAAAAAAAGGAGGAAAAAGGGGGGGGGGGGTGGGGGAGGTGCCTCGAAGGACTTGAAACTCCCTAGGTCACGGCGCCTCTGACTGTACTATTGTTTTTTGTTCTGTTAAACGAGACGAAATCGACAATGATGTGTCAAAACGTCCCCAGCATGTCAACGCTTTACCCCCCTGAGGCTAACAAACGACCCTACACATGTAACCGTTTTCCGCCGACATTCTCCAAAGCTAGAAGAAGTAATTATTCAGGCTACAAACGTTGTTCTCGTCGCCTAGTTTTTACGCCAAGTAAAAGGGCCCAGCAGCAGGACTACGAGCTGTGGTCGCCCATTCCCGCCCGACATCTCACAGCATACGTGGAGCTGGCGTGTGCTGCAGTCAGCACTTCTCACTTCTATCTAGGCCATGATGTGTTGTGTTGACAGGCAGTAGCTAGGGGGACGTTCAGACATCTGTGCCCTAGTTTACCATAAATGTTTCAAGAGGGGAGCTTGCAGATTTGCAGTCGAGTGTAAGGTGCTGAGGATTTTATTGTTTTAGGGGTAAGTAGATAAGCGCACAGTTAAGTAATGAATTAGTAATAGAATAGTAACGAATGTTGTTATTTTGTATAGTTGTACACACCGTTAGCAATGGTTTGTTAACTTGTTTACACTTTACACAGTTACAGTGTTATGGAAACGCTTCCTTGTGCATTCAGCATTCGTGTGTATACTTTTCTTTTACTTTTACGCGTTCACCGGCTGTAAACTCAGACGGAAATCTCTGACTGTTCGTCCATCTCTGAGCTTTTAGTCTGGTTCCATAACCCTGTGTTTATATCCGTTTCACAGATCTAGCATATGTGCATGCAGACTGTTGGTTCCTTGCCTCACAGGCACACGCACACCGACTTGGAAGGAAGGACCCTACTGAGTAGACTTTTACCTCATGTGTGTTGGGTGGCAGTGAG